GGAACCGGGCAAGGCTGGAAGGGCAGGAAGGCGGCCGGGATCCGGGGGTCCCTTCCCGTCCCGTGTCCAGGGAAGAGCACAAGTGGGTGGGAGATGAGGATCGGCCTTGCGGAGGCGCAGCAGGAAAGGAGAGAAGCCGGGCGAGGAGGAGGCAGGATTCGCACCCGGCTCCCGGAGGGATCGATCCTGTCTCCGGAGGGGGAGAGAAGCGAGGCGGCCTCTCCATCTGCCTCCTTCCTGGCCCTCCTCAGGGGGACTTGGGCCTTGTGCTGGGATGACCCGCCTGGGGCTCAGGGCAGGTTGGGTGAAGGTTGTTCAGGGGCTGAATTCCACTTTCTAATTCTTGGCGTTGGTTTTTCTTTCCATCTCAGATACAGAAACTTGAGGCTACTTGAAATCTTTGCAAGCCAAAATTTTGTCTTGGGTGAAAAAAAGAGCGGAATAAGTTGCAGGGATCTGTCCTGTGGCCCCAGAAATGGTCCTGTGAAGGAAAAGGCATCTGGAGATCCACAAGAGTGCTTGGACCCATTTGGAGTTGCTCTGCAGGAAAGAGAAAGGATGGAGACACACCAGTTTGTAAAGGAGGAAACTAGGAAAGGCCCTCCAGCTGTTCAGCCTGGGAAGGGTGGAGAGATCTGGACAAGACCTAGGGAGGAGATCCTGGAGGAGGAAACCATCCTCCCTTCAGAAGTTCAGCCCTGGAACTTCATCCAATGCCAGGAGGTTGAGGGTACCCGAGGACTTTGCAGCCGACTCCACGACTTTTGTAGGCGATGGCTGAGACCAGAAAAACACACCAAAGCTCAGATGCTGGACCTGGTTGTTCTGGAACAGCTCCTGTTCCTTCTGCCCCCAGAGATGGAGGGCTGGGTGAGGGAGTGTGGAGCAGAGACCAGTTCCCAGGCAGTGGCCCTGGCTGAAGGCTTCCTCCTCAGTCAGGCGGAGGAGCAGAAGAAGCAGGTCCAGTTGCAGGTGAGACACTTCAGGGAGCTCAAAAGAGAATAGAGAATGTGTTTGAATACTTCACCCCTACTTCCCAAACTTCTCTGACATTCATGATATGGGGCAAAGTCCCACCAATTTTTGTAGGACATTGTTCCATTGTTTTCTCACTCAACCACACTGATGGATTTTGGGGGCTTTGAGGTGGTGTTGCCCAATTTATGTCGTGTGGATGTACATTAATTCTGCTTCTTTTTTCCTTCCTCCGATTTGAAGTGCTGCACTATGGAGATCAGAGATCCTGAGGGAAAGAAGAATCCATCAAACCCCCCTCAGGAGCTATTTTTCAGGAGGATCCCTTGGGAAGATCAAAATCTGGACACCTCAGGAGGTAACAGAACATCCTCCAATTACCCATCTGCCTTACCTTCTCTCTCTTTTCTCTTCTATACAATATCTTCTTCTATTTATACTTTTTCACACTAAGAAGTATAGTGTGAGCCTCCTCCTGGGAAAGGTAGAGATTGAGGTCCACCTGAAGGGGTGCGTGAGGAATTTGTGGATTTTCTGGAAGACAAAATTGTTCAACTTCATTCCCTGTTAGATGCCGGCGTGGTTGCTGGTCTGGTGGAAGTCCTTGAGGCAGGTTGTTGCTGTGTTATCTGGGAACGGTTTGACCCTGTTGCTCCTGAGGAAGTGGACAGGGTCCTAGGGAGTATGCGTGCAAGCACCTGTGTATTAGACCCATGTCCCTCCTGGCTTGTGAAAGTTTCTCGGGAGGTGACAGGTGGGTGGACTCTGGCGATGATTAATGCTTCCCTACAGGGGAGGATAGTGCCCCAGCACTTTAAAGAGGCTGTGATCCACCTTCTTCTTAAGAAGCCATCGCTGGATTCCGATCTGTCTCCAATCTTTCTTTTTGGGAAAAGTGGTTGAGAAGGTCATTGCGCGGCAGCTCCAGAGGTTTCTTGATGAAATGGATTATCTAGACCAGGGGTCCTCAACCACCGGGCTGCGGACCGGTACCGGGCCGTGGAGCACTCTTTACCGGGCCGCAAAGAAAAAAAATGGCGTCTTTCTTTGCCTTCGGTGAATGCTGCTGGGATCGGGGATCAAGGACACAAATGAAAGAAGGGGAGGGAGGAAGCAACCGAAGCCTGTCCTGCTCTCTGGCTCAGCTCTCTCAGTCGCTCTCTCACTCCTCCACCAGCCCAGGAAGAAACTGCTTCAAAGAAGCCGGTTGGGGGGATGGGGGGGTGGCTTTTCCTGTCGCCGCAGCTTCCCCGAAGCGCCCATTTGGCCTCCACCCCACCTGCCCGCTCGCTCGCGGTTCAATCCACAGTGCGCTGTTCTGCCTGCCTGCCTGGTTGTTTGGGAGCAGCTTCGGCTGAGAATAATAACTATTCGCCTCTTTTTATCAGCCGAAGCTGCTCCGAAACGAAGAAGGCAGGCAGGCAGGCAGGCAGAACGGAGCAATGTGGATTGAACCGCGGGCGGGCGGGGGGGTGGTGGGGGTGAAACGGGCGCTTCGGGGAAGCTGCGGCGACAGGAAAAGCCACCCCACCCCCCACCCTGGCTTCTTTGAAGCAGTTTCTTCCTGGGCTGGTGGAGGAGCGATAGAGTGACTGAGAGAGGAACGAGGCAGACACCTGAGGGAGGGAGACACCTGAGGGATGGGGCTGAGGGAGGCAGGGCCGAGGTGCCC